GCCCGCGCGGCGCCCGCCGGCCTCGCGGCGCCGCGCCAGCGCATGGACCCCAACACGGGGCAGCTGGTGGTGGAGAGCGCGGCTCTCTCCACGGCCGGCGCCAGCCAGGGCGCCGGCGGCACCGACGACCTGCTGGCCACGCCCATGCTGTGCACGCTGCCGTCGCAGCGCGGCGCGCAGAGGGCCTTCGCGTCGCCTGCGGCTGCGTCGCCCCTTGCGGTTGCGAGGGGCGGCGACGACGCCGACGCCGACGACGCCACCGTGGAAGGGGAGGAGGAGGAGGAGGAAGTGCGCCCCGCCTCGCCCAAGTACGACGAACGGACCTTCTTCTTCTCCAACCCCTTTGCCACGCAGCAGTACGGACCCCGGTCCGCCGCCAGGGCCGCCGCAGGCGGAGCGGCGGGCGGCCACGCGCCCCAGCTGCGTGAGTCGCCTGCGTTCTCTGTCGCACGCCACGCCGACAGTCCAGAGAGCGTCCCCCCCCCGCGCCCGGCAGGGGTTCCTCCAGCCGCCCCGGAGGCCCTGCGCACGCCGGGGGCGCAACGGCCTGTGCGATTTGCGGCGCTGGCCGGCGCCCACGTGGCCCTCGGCACCAGCCCCCGCCTGCCGAGCCGCCTGGGGCAGCCGGCCGCAGGGAGGGACGGCGACGCGCCGCCGGCTGCAGACACCCAGGGCCGCGACGAGGCCGCGGCCCCGCCAGGCGCGGCGCATTCCAGCGGCAAGAAGCGAGTCTCGCCGCCTGCCGCGCCGCCGAGCGCATCGCCGCTGCGACACGGGGTCCCCCCCGCCATGCTGCCAAGCATGCTGAGCCCCGCGCACTCTGCGCCGGCGGTCGGCGACACCCCGCTGGAGCAGACGGGGTTCAAGCGCGTCGTGGACGGCAAGGGGCAGCAGCTCACGCTGCTGTCCGTCGAGGTGCACGCCGAGAGCAGGTGGGAAGGGGGGGTCCCATGCGAGATGGGGCAGGGGATTTGCACCTGAACTGCTCAGTGCCCTACGCTGCGCGCCAGGCAGCAGCTGGCCCCTCGCAAATTCCGGGCTGGCCGGTGGGAGTCAGCCCCTGTCTCCTCCTGCATCACTCAGGGGCCTCCTGCTGCCCGACCCGCGGCACGACGCTGTTCGCGCTGTGTTCCTCGTGGTCATGGACGACGACGAGGAGGTTGACGACGGTGAGGGGCCGGGATTCTGTGGTCGCAACTGCCAGGAGGATGTTTGGGAGGAGGAACTGGCTCGCCAGTCCAGCACGCCATGCCAAACCCAAACCCGTCGTCCTCCCGCTTCCTTCCCACCTCTCAGGCAAGTACACCGCGCGCATCCTGCTCTGGGACGACAAGGTGGGGATGCGGCGGCCCGGCGACGGCGGCCAGGGCGCACCGGAGAGCGTGTCCCCAGCACCCGCGCCCCGGCTGCGAACCCCCGCCGCTCCCGCGGCGCCCTCCCACCCCGGCGCAGGGCCGGCCGGGTGCGCCACGCCGCCGGGCGGGCAGGCTTCTCCGGGTTCGCCTGCGCCGTTCCCCTCCCCACCCCTGGCCTCCACGGCGCGCGACGTGCCCTGCGTGTCCCCGGGCCGGGGTCCGATGGGCCGGGGCCTGCGGCGCTGGGCGGGGGCCGACGCGCTGACCTCCACCCAGGTGGACCTGTACGCCAGCGAGGCCGCGCTGCTGGACGCCGTGGTGGAGGGCGTGCGCGCGCTGGACCCCGACATCCTGCTGGGTTTCGAGGTTCAGTGCGGGGGGCTGGGCTACCTCAACGACCGCGCCGCCACGCTGGGGGACGCACACTTCCTCCGCGCCCTGTCCCGCACGCCCGAGGTGGGGGATGGCATGGGGAGGGGTGGGGGAGGTGAGGGGGGGGAGTGAATCTGGGAGGTACAGGAGGGCGGACAGACTCATGCATCGCGCCGGGAAGGAGGTTGCTCTCTGCATGTGACGACACAGGGAAGCCGATGGGCACGGCATGCCCACAACCGGGGCCGTGCCCGACAGCCCCCTTCCCCTCCCATGCACCAACCCCCTCTCACACCCACCACACACCAGCTGGCAAGCGTGAAGGAGGCCCAAGAAGACGAGTACGGCTGGCTCAACGCCTCGGGCCTGCACATCGCGGGCCGTATCGTGCTCAATGTCTGGCGCATCATGCGGGCAGGCGCGTCGGCTGGCTGTGCCTGGGATCCAGATACCTGCGAGTGGCAAGGGACACTCGTGAGTGACCTGGCC